AAGAAAGAGAACACAACGTTTCGGCCGTGGAGCCTGACACCTTGACACCTGAAGAAGGCTCCACGGCCGAAACGTTGTGTTCTCTTTCTTCTTTTTTTCAGCATGGAATAAACCTATTACTTGTTCCACTGTAACTTATGGATGTGGAAAATTGCAAATTAATCTACTAATTTTTTTACACCTGGGCAATTTTTTTCTCTTGTAGTTTGTTTTTAAGCAGACTGTTGTGAAGGTAAATTAACAACTCTGAGAATACTACCATTATACACCTCTAATTAAGACCAACGTGCAATTTGCCCACTCTATAAATAAGCATCACAAGAAGAAGCTTTGCAGTCAGTGACATAACTCCTGCATTTTACTGCTCTTTATGAGTTTTGAATGATAGGCCTGTGACATTTAGAGCAAGCGGTACTTTGTTATAAGAAAGCCAGTGACATCTGTTTTATTCCTAGGCTGTACAGGGCTGTAAGTTCAGCTAAACTGACCAATTATAAAAACCATCCTTCACTTACAGACATACTGGCGCTTACTTTTGTTTTCAACTGCTGTTATAATAATTCAGTCTGTCTTTTCTCTTGTATATTTTTTTCTCTTCCTCATCTTCTGTAGATGCTGAAACCTTTGTCTTTTTGTGTCAGTTCTCGTCTTTTTGTCTTTCTTATCTTGCCAATGACAAGGGATTACCTCAGTCTGAACTATGATAGCGATGGACAGAGGCTTACATCTTATAGGTATCCCTCTTTTCTCCATCTGGGTTTTTTTAGCAAGCACCTTCAATAATGTTTGCCCTCTAATATATTTGCATGAAGTTGATGTAATTTTGGCTAGAAAATGTTTACCGTCTTTTTTTAGAGCCTCACTGTATAGTCAGTATTGTGTTCATGTTTGACTAAATATTCACTGCTTTTGTGTAAATTTAACTTATTTTCTTTTAGAATATGGGTGTCCAGTACTGATTCCTGAAGAGCATGTCTACAGGTTTTCTAGGTCTCATTAAATCTGTATTACCTGAAGAGCCGACAGTAACTATTAAACTAGTTCAGTTAAGCCAGTAACCCACTTAGTTAGCTCAAGCTACATGTTGAATTCATTGAGAGCTGAATTTGAATGAAAACCCACTGACAGCTGGCCCTCCAGGACCAAGACTAGACAGCACTGCTTTTAGCGGATTATCATGAAATCACTAGACGATTTGAAGGGGTTCTAGCTATAAATGATATCCGCTCGTTAATGGGCAGTTCATCTTGTTTATTAAGCCAACAAGAGGATGCAGGACTGTCTTAAAATTAATATTAATTATAAAATAAAGCTAATTTGCAAATGCATCAAAATAGAAAGTATTTTCAGATTGCACTTCAAATTGAACACTGCTTTGAAAGCTATAATTTGGCCTCTGTCAATAGCTGTGTGTCTCTCAAATTGTTTGGATGAATGTAGTTTGGATAGTTATTAGCATTAAGTGGACACAATGACATGTAATTTAGTCAAATGAAGTGTACTCCACTTGTTTGGAAAATGAGCACAATGGTATGTCCTTGACACACCTGTGGGACAGGCTACTCATTGGACTGATCATGGCTGTTGAGGTACATCAGGGTGTTTAATGAGAGGCACATAAATATCTGTGTGACACAAAAATGAGAAGGAGGCTAAATGAACAGCTTTTTAATGAAAAGATGTGACCATGCAGTTATAGTGTTTGAAATAAGGAGTCTAGCTGTACTTCTTTCCAGAAGAACAATTTTTGCAAATGAATGCATTTAAGAGTCATAAGAAATACTGCCACCTCATAAAATTGATTTTTGTCTTGCTGGTGGGTTTAACAGCAAACATCCTCCCTGAAAATGAATAGTGATTTAAAGAGTAATTATTAAGAAGGAGCAACCCAGGGCTTAGCGGCATGTTTAAGGACATTAGTTATGTATTACCTTCCTAAAAGTGCTCTATCACAAGATATTCTAAAAGGTGTACTGTAGGTGGGTCGTAAGTAATTTATTTTAAACTGTATGCTGTTAAGACTGATCAATACCGGAGTATTGGTTGCAGTTTGCAGCAGTGTAGATATTAGGTACATTTGGACAGGTGCTAGTTGCATCTGAAACATGCACTGGTGGGAACAAAAAAGAGTAGCCAAATTGTGGGAAAACATTATCTGAAACGCCACACTGACAGTTTGTAAACATGAAACAGAATGTAACATTAACATTTCTTTTTTTTCAAACAACCTGTCATACTTCCACTTCCCCATCCCTGAAAAGAGCTTATCGCAGTCAATTTTCCTGAGTCTACACTACATTTTGGATGCAGACGAATGTTTTAATTTAAATATTCTACCTTTGTACAGTCATGTCTGTAGAAGTACTAAAAGATTAAAACTGTGGCTCCCATTGAAACCCTTTGTTAAAGCTTATCAGTAGGACTGATAAATTAGCATTAAGGGTGAGCCTTGAAAAGCCTGCTCATCTGGAAACTTTTAGTCAGTGAGGAAACAAGAGCCCAGAATCCTTCTCCTATCACTGATTTGTTGCACTGCTCTTTGAAGGATGCCTGCAAGAAACCAAATCCTGTATGTGGTCACAACGGGGAGACCTACTGCACAGTGTGCGCTGCCTATTCAGACCGCGTGGCTGTGGACTACCCTGGCCGCTGTCATGCTGTGGGGGTGGTGTCTGAGGTCAGCACAGATTCAGGGTGTGCCACCATCAACTGTCCGGCACTCCCCACAAAAGGATGCAATCCAGTTATACCACCAGGTAAGATGAGGAGGCAAGTCTTGAAGTCTTTACTATTTGATTCATTTTAGATTGGGTTTTGTTTGCATACCAAGATCTTTAAACTTGTCCAGTGCCATTCAGGAAGTTGCTGATTGGATTAATCTGTTGGTTTCTGACACCAGAAATTGCTGCAAAGTTATTCTTGTAGTGATGTATAAAAACTCAGCTTGGTTATAATTATTGCAGTAAACTAATGGATGACTGGGCCCAGGCCCCCTCACAAATCACAGCTTTACTTTGTCTATCTTTTTACATTTTAATTCACTTCAGTAAATCAGCATGAACAGTACTAACTCTTGGGATTCTAAGCAAAATTGTGGTCTTTCATCATTAAAGTGTTGAAAGGATCATTTATAAATAGTATTATGAATATTAATACACAACAAAAATAGCAATAGTGTTGGACTGCATAAATCACCAGCTTTGTTCATGCATGAAGAAACAGCTTTGGGTGTGCTATTGGATCCCACTGTCATTTTCCAATTAAACTGAACCCAATGTTTGTGTTCATAGGAGCATGCTGTCCCTTGTGCGCAGGAATGCTTCAGATTCTGTGGACTAAAGAGCAAATGAATGTCTTTGCGAAGGTAAAGCAAACTATGTCTTTGTATTGTGGAGATCATGAGACATCCCCACTGCCATCATTCTTCCTCATGCTTTAGTTGACTGTCGGTAGATTTATGGCCTTTTAAAGTATTTCAAGTTGTCTTCAAATTAACAGTGTAAACTGAGTGGGAATGATTTTGATTTCCTTGTTGTCAGTGGAAGCATCTCTTACATCTCTCCCTGTTTGTGTGGGTTTTTGCCAGGTGCTCTGGTTTCCTCTCACAGGAAAGACATACTGGCAGTTTAATTGGGTTCTTTTGATGTGTGTGTGTGTGTGTCAGCATGTGCCATGCCATGATGCTATGGACTGGCATCCTCTTCAGGGTGTGTCCTACCTTGCGCCCGTTACCCGCTGATATACTGTAGACTTCGGCTCCTCTCTGACCCTGAATTCGATGAAGCAGTTAGAAATGGATGGATGAAATCCCTTAGTGGCATTTAAAATACCCTTCAGATCCACAGTCTCGTGCACTCTGCTGATTAATCTGTTGATCTGTGAATCTGCCCACACCATCTTTATTTCTTCTTTTTGCAGCTCAATAACAACAAGCCTGTGACAATCCATGATATCCTCCAGATACTGCGACTCCATATTTCAGTACCGCAGTGTGACATATTCGGCTATCTAAGCATCGATTCAGAGATTGTGATCCTCATTGTGCCTGTTGATGAGCGGCCCACTCCCCTGCAGGTATGTTGCTCTATACCTGTTACAGGCTGGACAGCAGAGGCTGAGGTGGAAACAGGTCTCCTGCCCCTTTCACGGTGGGGTGGAAACAGTGTGTGTGTGTCTACCCCTCCTCCACTTTGAAGACCCTTAAAAAACCTATTCTTAAATCTTTTATTTATTAACTGGTTGAAAAGTGGAAGTTCAAACTGTGGAATTATAGTGACTATCAAAACTATTTATCCCCCTTGGACTTTTTCACATTTTACTGTGTTACAATATAGAATCACAATGTATTTATTCATTTCAATGTATTTTTGCCATTGATCAACACAAAACATTCTATAAATGTCAAATTAAAAACAAAATTCTAAAGATCCTTCAAAAGTCATTATATAAAGTACTAAGTAATTATATTATATAAATTAACTATAAAACAGAAAATAAGTGATTACATATGTATTCAGCCATTTTCACTGTGTCAGACTTAAATAGATCTGGTACAACCAAATGCTTTAGAAGTTGTATAATTTGTTGAGAAATGGATACAGCAAAATAAAGAGAACCTGCTGCAGACTGCAGACATGGGACTTGGGATAAAATTCATCTTCTAGTAGGACAATGACCCAAAACATGCAGCCAAAGCCACAGTGGAGTGGTTTAAAAAGAAAAACGTTAGTGTTCTAGAGGGACCCAGTCAATGCCCGGACCTCATTCCAATCAAGAATCTGTGGCAGAAGTTGAAAATTGTTGTTCACCAACAGAGAGTGTTTTCTGTCAGTCAATAACACAAACTTCCAGTTAAATGCATTATGATTACAATTTGAAAAACTATCAAATGTAAAAGGTCCAAGGGGGGTGAATACTTTTGATAGCCACTCTAAATGAAATTTTAATTGAAGTATTGAAATTAAAGAACATTACGATGCCTGTAACACCTGATCTGAGATGGCACTGTTCTGATTGTGCCTATGTTTGTAATTTTCCAGGTAAGTAACTCTTGTTTTTTCATGAAGTTGTTAATAGAGGGAGTGACATAATTTTGTGTAATTTTGTCATCAAGTTGTAAAATTAACAGCACTATTTTGATGAAAGCAGAAAGCACATCACACTGCTCCTGGTAAGAATAGTTTTATTATGACAGACTGTAGTCTGTTTTTTCAACTTGTATATTAGGTTTCGTATAAGAGGTGCTGTATTATTCGAAGATGCCATATTCATCACGTGTATAAATGTCATGGGTTGTCCTTTTAAAAAACACCCCTATCAGGGTAGCCATGTGACTGACTGAGAAACTTGTTCTGATTAAACATTTTTATTGTTTTAATGTGAAAGAGAAAATATATTTTATTTTTTTTAAATTAATGTTTTTACTAATTATAGTAATATGTGACAATTATTGGAGTGATACATGATTAAAAACATTTGCTAGTTAACTGCATTGCAAGAGTAACAGATAAAACACGTTTATTTACTAATGTGTTTAAACCAGTTCTCGTGAGTTTAAATCTCACCAACTCATCCTTTTTTATATGTAAGATGCATACTGATTAATGTATTGTATGTTTTGCATGTCATGGTGTTCTTCAGTACCTATGAAGTTGATATTCTCACAATCTTTTGCATCTAAGCAGTTATGTGTGTTTTATACGCAGAGAAACTTACAAAAAAAATTACATTAAAAATACCAGACATCGACCCATACATAGTCATTATACATCACTCCTACAGGAATCCACATAGCTTACCGGAACCTGTGAATTTCCTCCACCCACAATTATTCAAAGCCCGTTATATTGCAAATTACCCCTTCATTTTTGCACACAGTCCACTGATTGTCTTACCTTTAAGCCAGTACTCCTTTATTCATTGTGTAGTTTGACTGAGTATGGAATTGTATTTTTTTGTATTTAATGTTATGTCTGCATTAAGGGACTAGAACGTCTGTTTGAAGGCATTATTTGATATTCTTCTTGCAGAACATGCAAGGGATCAGAGGATATACTAACATACTCTTAATATAAGCAGTTTGAAAGCTCAGCTCAGGTGGCTGCCCCACTAAAACTTAGAACATATCCTCAAGAGTGGACATCGTCTTGGCTTTTAGTTGCACAGAAAGATTGTTATACCAGAGAGTTATTCCACAGTGCCTGACACTTCGTACCACAGAACTGAAAAACATGGACAGAATCTTGACTATTAGCACCAAAAACCTGTTATCTGTGAATAAAGTAAATTCACTGTTGTACAGTATAAATGAAGTCAACATGTGCCTTCCAAGACCAGAAAAAAATACTCAGGACATGCAGTTCTTTGGCGATAATGTTTTGCACAGCTGTGTGCTCCAGATAAACCCTAATGCTTGTGTATTTCACTGAACAGATAGAGGCTTGCAACAAGGAAGCTGAGAAGATTGACTCCCTGATAAACTATGGAAGTCCCACCCTAGTTTCCCATGTGCCACTGTCGGCCTTCACTGTATCAGAGGTGAAGGTCTCCACATTGACCTCTGCTGCACCTGCTCTCGCCATGCCTGTATATTTCTCACTTCTCCTGAGCTTTTCCTTCACTCTTTTTGTTAGCCTTTAAGATTGTAGCTGCCTCTTACTGAATGCTGAAAGTTAAATTAAAGTATGTGTGTAAAGGCCATGCTTTTACCGAAAAAATGTGTTAGGATACTGAAAAGGAAAAAAGAAAATTGTATATTCCTAATGAGGGCAGTTATGATCACTTCTGCTGCTATGAAGGCTTAAAACATTTGCCTCCTTAGGGAATGTTAACCAATCCGTTTGCTTTTTTGAAAAGTGATGGGCTTCACTTGCTGAGGTTCTGCTCTTTGTGTTTAGAGACTGAGAACAGTTCTGCACCCTGACACATAGTTTGTTTCCTCTAGAAATAGCTATAGTCAAATGAAAGGAAAACAGCAGAGAAGCTGGTGGCATTTTGGTCTGGGAAGATGGTGATGTATTATGGACATGCCAGCTCTCTTCTGCTCAGAAATAATTGCTAAGGCTCAGAGGATGAAGTTACTATATTCAAAACTAGTATGCAGGTTTAGACATTTCTTATTGTAAATAAGAACGGTGAAGAGAAGAAAATCAAACTGGAAGAGCTATTACCTATAAAAACACCATCATTCATAAGCTGAAAGAGAAAAGGGATTTATTTTGTTCCTGTGTAAACATATTAAAAGAAAACATGCTCAGATGAAGAAAACCAATAGCCATGTTTATGATAATGACAATCATTGCTTTATCCACATGTGGATAATATGACAACATGCCTTACTAAAGAAATATAAATAAATCATATATAAAGTAATGCAATAATTTTATAATGTTTATATTGTAATTTTTAAGAATTTGAACTTTGTTCAATGTGTGGATGCTTGAAATAGGATCCATCAAGTTTTCTTAAAAACAATTAAGAAGCAAGATATACAGTAGATGTGCCATTCTAAATGTTATTGTACTTGCATGATGACTAATTATGAAGTGTTTTATTCCAGAATGTACTGTGGTGACTCACTCTGTTGTGTGTTTGTTTTTGCGTTGTTTGTCCAAGCATCCCTGCTACCTGCCACATGAAGTGAATTTGTCTCAGTATTATTGTGCTAGGCAGCTTTGTAGAATTAAACTTTTACAGAAGGGTTTCTATTTTCCTGTTTTTGTTTGTTTTTATTTTTATATTTCAATAAAAATTTTTGCCAACGTAAATGTGATATGTACTGCCAAAATGTAGAACATATATAAATATAGGCACTTAAGCATAACTTTAAACCTCAGTTTTTTGCATCGTGTTTTAGCAAAAACGCCAGTATTTGTGAGTTCTTAAAATGCCGACAATGCATATTTTATTACCTATAAAATAAAACTCTGTCAAAAGTGTTCCATCTTGTTGTGTTTCTTCAGTGTGTGCATTGAGGCTGCTGAGGTTGAATGCCAAAATGAATCTTTCGCATTATGAGTCAAGACCATTGTATTTGTTCCCCACAATCTGTTGAACTGGTTTGAGATTACATTTATCACAGAAGAACACCCATATCTCATGTACAGTTAATAATATACACAGCAACATGGCATGGTACTGTAACTTCATGGAGTTACAAAATGCACTGCATATGGTCCACATATTGACCACTAGATGGTGATAAAGATTCAGATCTGGAACAGGTCATTGCCAGCCTCGGCTTCACAATTGGTCACAACAGGTAATTTCTGAATACGCAGGTTGCAGGATCTCCATCAAGAGGATGTCTTCAGTCAACAGTTACATCAAAAAACACAAATATTTCAAAAGGAGAAGGGAGAAACTACTCTTTTTCACCTTTGTCTCATGTATGAACACTTGTTTTGGTTATCTGTTATCAGCTTTACACTTGCTTTTTTCCATTTAAAATTGCTAAAATAATGTAAGGAGACATTTCATTTGTAGTCCTCTTCTTTTTGTGGCTCATGAGTGTCAAAAATGACTCATTTACACAGGGTCTGAACCAGGAGATGTCAAGATTTTTTAAGGCTACACATTGTTGCCTTTTTTTACAATAAAAATAATATACAGTTGTGTAATAAATTTAGACTGTTCAGCTGCATTTCCTGTTCAAGAGGGAAATCCAAAAACTACCCCACTTTGTTCCTAAAAGAAAGATTATTCTTCAAAGATGGTTCTTTCTTAAAATGATTCTGTACTTCAGACAAAACATTTGTAAATAGTTCTGGTAAATGTGAGAACCTGGTAACTGTAAATAAGTGATTCTGTCACTTTCTAAGTGAAGCAAGTGAAATGGTTAACTGCAGACGTTCTGGTCTCTTTAACCTCCCCAGAGTCAATATTTACTCTACAGTTGAGCTTAGCCCTTATGGTTATTTTTACATTCTTAATACAAAAATTGCAGAAACATCTTTACCAAAGTTTAATAGTGCTAACTTACATAAGTCGTAAAACGATAATGACAGTATCTTAATATTGGTACTATATTGATTTTTTCATATTCTAGAATTGTGTGAGAGTGTTCCTCGGTACGTAAATTCAGGCTATGATCTTATCAAACATACTTCAATGTAGAGATAACGGGAATATGGATATGAAGGGCATAGATAGGGCATTTTCAATATGATATTAATGGGTATCTACCAGTTGTCCAGAATAACACATCCAATGTCATGGACCTCACCATCTGCCCTCTCCACATCTCCTGTCATTAGCAAACAAACTCTTTGTGGTGTGTTTCATATTAATATTCACACCTGTCAACACTCCATGCTTGACACAAATTCCACTTGCTTTCCACACCTGGCTGACAGACTTTCTTCAAAATGGAGCGTATGATTTTAACACCTTTGTCAGGATGAAGATACTTTCATTAAATCTGGAGCTTCTGCACACATTTGTGTGAAGATCTTATATAAACATGAGCACTTGGAATGCCTCCACTTGATAAATATGTCTTTTTCAGAATTTTTAAATTTGAAATAGAAAATGCACATGATTCTACCATCAAAATAGTAATAAAGAAGGCACAAAGGGTAACTGCTTAAATAAGCTAAACAGATGTTTAAAATAGAAAAACTGACATAATCAATATGGCTTACTATATATTTCTGTGACTGAAGGTTGCTGTAAATTATAAAACCACAACAAACAAGCCAGACAGGACAAATAGCCCTGTCTCATTCTGGTGTTCTTATTATCCTTTTACCTCTTTGCTTATTAATGTTAATATTTTGACTAATGAAATCTACAAGGTGGTCTAGACTGCCATTAAATTAATTCAATCATTTCCTCACAGTTTTTACAGGTTTAATTTATATGGGTAAAATTCAGCATAACATAGTCAGAAGTAAGAAATCAAGGTAGAAAAATATTTTAGAGTGCTTTTGGCTTTGGATGCATGTTATAGACTCAGACTTGTTGTTCTTGAATTAGTTAAGTAAACATTACATAACTATAAGTCACTGGCTAAAGGCTTTGACAACACATTTCAAGGCTTAAATATCAAATTGAAACATACAGTAGATGTACTTATAGGGTCAGTGTAGTTTCCTGTTGAAGTGTCTTTAAATTCTTTATAGTGAAAGCTAACTGGGAGAATGTAGAGCTTGCAGAAATAGGTCACTTTTCAGCCAGACCAAAAAAGCTCATGATATGTGAATAGGAGTTTAGATAGATAATACTTTATTGATCCCAAAGGGAAATTGAGGTTTTACAGCAGACCAGCCCAAGACAAGCAAAAACAGACATCAGAATAGACTAAATATTAAAATAAAATAAGTACAGCAATACTAAATAAAACATATAGAGTTAATGTGTGCAAAATATGCTCATAGTCACTGTAAAACAATAAGTACAGAAAGCTCAATAGTGCAACATGCTGTCCATAGACGAGCAGATGAAGGGCTAGCAGTCCTAGCCTAGGGCAGTGTTATACACCCTGATAGCCACCGGGAGGAAGGACCTGCAGAAACGTTCCCTTGAACACCGTAGCTGGAGCAGACTGTTACTAAAAGTGCTCCGCTGTCTAATAACAGTCCCATGTAGCAGATGAGAGGTGTTGCTCATGATGGCTGTGAGCTTGGTCAGCAATCTTCTCTCCGTCACCACCTCCAGGGGGTCACAGCTCAGCCCCAAAACAGAGCCAGCCTTCTTGATGAATTTATTGAGTCAATTTACATCTCTTGCCATGATGCTGCACCCCCAGCACTCAACAGCGTAGAAGATGGCCGCTGCCACAACTGATTAAAAAAAATGTGTAGCAGTCTTCCACATACACCAAAAGACCTGAGCCTCCTAAGAAAATAGAGTTGGATCTGACCTTTCTTGTAAAGGGTATCATGTTAACAGTCCACTCCAGCTTATCATCCAGGTGTGCCCCTAAGTACTTGTAGGACTGAACCCTTCTCTATATCCTCATCCTGGATGGAAACAGGGTTCAGCAGAGACTTACTCCTCTGAAAGTCCATGACCATTTCTTTAGTCTTGCTGGTGTTAAGCTGGGGATGGTTAAGATGACACCACTCCACAAAGCTGGTAATTAAGCTCCTATATTCCTCCTCCCTCCTCTCACTAATACACCCCACAATTGCAGAGTCATCTGAAATCTCTGCAGATGAAATGCCTCGGAGTTGTACTTGAAGTCAGAGGTCTAAAAAGTGAACATGAATGGAGAAAGGACAGTCCTCTGTGGAGTTCCAGTACTGCTAACAACCTGTTCGGACTCACAGCTCTGTAGCCATACAAACTGTGGCCTGCAGGTCAGATAGTCTATAATCCAGGACACCAAGGAAGAAGCTTGTTCTTTACATATTAAACAAGGTCAGAAATGTATTTGCCATTTTAGCCTTTTCTTGATTGTTTAAAAACTCAGATTGTGAAGATCCTACCCCAGAAATAAGGTACTGAGTTGAAATACTGCAAATAAATTGTTTTAAAGGATTTACTTCAAGCTCCAATGAGCATAAGTCAACCTGTAGAAGCAATATTCTGCATATCTTAAATTAGGTGCAGCTTTTAATAGATCTTTCTTTTTCTTGTTTGTGACTTCTAAAGCGAAGCAGTTTTTAAAGTGACAATAATTGCTGCTTTAAATACAATACAGTCTTGTATTCAGATTTTTAATATTTGTTTATCTGACTGATGACCCAAACACTGATGTTCAATGATTAGGTGCGAAGCAAATGTTGTCAAGAGAGATGGCAGAGAAAGTAGACACATCTTAAAAGTTAAAAGCATTTGAAAACACTGTGAACCTTAAACCTGAAGACAACAGAAAGATATTCCCCCCGTTCCCAACAATGTCACTATACTCACCTCATTATCAAAATAGCCACAGATGAGAGGAGGCATTTGGCCCATCGGTTTGCTTTGGTTCTATTTCTCTGAAGTCTCATTACCAGTACTAGTTGCATTTACTGCACTAATAGCAAACCCCCAAAGTATGAAATACCTTTTAACCCTCTCATTCCCTTGGAAAAGGACAAAGAAAACAAAGAGTTTCGAGAATCCAAGCAAACCCAACCTGCACTGATAGTTAAGTGGAGCGTCTGGCATAAAACCCATGTGAGTGAAACATGAACACACAAATAAGAATTAAACCCTGGGCAAAACATAATAACCAAGTCATTCTGCATGTGAAACAATAAACCAAAAGTACAATTTTCTCTCTTTCACATTTTCTCCTGTAATGTGTTTTCCCCTCCATTTTGGCTAAAGGCAGGGCAGTTCTAAAGTGAGTGCAAAATGAAGGACTCAAACTTACTGAATGGCACTAAATCACCACAATTTCCAAAGCTATCCTAATATTTTATGCAAGCAATGATAGGTATTTTCTGTAATAAAAAAAGTTGACATGAATCCCCTTAAAGGGAATTAAGTTTGTACACTGTGCAATTTGACAGAGTTTTTAAGAGAATATTATCCCCAAGGGGCAGTTTTAGTACTATAAAAGGCAGTGTTTTATAAAAAAGGGTAAGGTATAGATCCACTATATTGTAAAATCTTTCAGTAGTGAAGGCAGATCATGAGTCAGAGGGTTTGGCAATCAGTGTTAGAATATTATATCTACTACTGAGGTGGAATACCCATAACCATGTAGCTTAGTCCTTTGTTCAGACAGGAGTGCTATTGTAATGGAGATAGATTACAGCAGTCTGGTGCCAGATGGCGGGCAAAAGTGTGGCAGGGATTACAGAAAGTCAGACAAATCAGAAACAAGATGGGAGATAACAGGTCTGGCCATCCACACTGATTTTGGCCAGCATCCACTGGTGCTGCTTATTTGTTGGCAATTCAGGGAGCACAGTTCGTTTCACAATTTGACAAACAGACACTGTTGCAAAATCAAAAGTGCAGCAGTCCACATTGATTCTCTCTTTAGGGAAATTTTACTGCAGTGCGTACAAAACCAGAGTTCAGAACAACAGTCCTGGGGATGGAGATCAGACAATGGACTCTCATCAATCTCTGCTGTCCACTGGCTGGCGTGGGGGAAGGGTAGAGGGTCAGTCTGTGTTCGATGAATCCTCAGCCAGAGAAGCCAGATCAAAAATAGACTTCACTCACTCCAAGGGCAGTTATGTTTTCCTGATATTTTGGTTCATAAAATATTCAAATATCAAAGTGAACACATGTGCCTTTAGATTCATTCTAAATCAATCTGAAGTCTTGTAAGCTGTCTGTAAGTCTGTAAGTTGTAAGTTCTGGTTATTAAGATAATTAGCTCCTTATGTGGGCCATGTAACAGCTGCAAGTCACCATTTTCTCTGTGGCCATCCCGGCATGCTTGATTTTTTATTATCATACAACTTGGGGGAAAGAAGGGACAATGCAATCACAGACAGAGCAGAGATCAAAGCCTTTGCCTGCCTCTGTCTTTTAATCTTCCCTCAATTGATTTCTACTTCACAAACCCTGCTTCATGACAAATGATAACGACTATCATGTCAAAATCATATAAAGCTGTCGACTGCTTTATCTTATCATAAACCAACTATATATTTATTGAATTTAATTTTGTATGCATATAATACTATTCATTTTTACTTACAAAATATTATATCAGCTATATCAGAGAAGATATTTATTTGGTAGCTTTAGTTGGAAATTTTATGAAGAGTCTCAGTGGAGAACTTGTGCCACAAGACACGAGCCTGCTCTCATGAGGGGAAGAGAAAACAATTGATGCAGTCTTTGAGAGGAGAGCTGCAAAACAAGCGTATTGACCAGATGATGGCAAAGCCCGAGGTCCTACTGAGCACTGAAGAGAAGAAAAAGGCTAAGAGAAGAGTGATCCAGATAGGACCTGAGGGGAAGAACTCCCTGGCTGTGGATTGGGATATAACCCAGAATAAGAGTAAGAAGAAAATGGTGGATTTGAATGCTGCTTCAAGAGTGCAGTAAGCGGACTAATGTGCTAAAAGAGAAACGTGAGGCCCTGCGGCCTAAACAGCAGCAAGAATACTGAAAACATAGATGGCTGTTTGCTGTCTGTTCTGTACCTTACATTGAGTGTGAGATGAAGTAACTGAAGGGATAAGGGCAACTCTGAGCAGTAACGACAACCTCCAGGAGAGACCAGAAAAAGCCAGGCAAGAGATGACTTCCCTCACCAAACTCCAGACTAGACTGAAGGACAGGGAGCCTGGGATAGAAAGCCTTCAAGCCCAAATCAGACAGGCAACTGCTGGTCTTTGTCAAACAGGTGCATGATCTTGAGACCAAGCTGGAGGATGAGTGGAAGCAGAGAGACATGGCAGCTGTCGCAGGGAAAAAGCTGGAGGGAGACTTCAAAGAAGTCAAGTGTCACATAAAGACTGCAAATCATGATCAGGACAAGGCTATCAAAACAGGTGCACAAGCTCCAGGCCCAGATGAAGGACTTCCAAAGGGAGATGGGAGATGCCCGCATTGTCGGGGAGAAAGTGCTGACCGCAGTCAAGGAGAGCGAGGAGAAGGCCAAGAGCCTAGAGGCTGAGCTAATGCAGTTACAGGAGGACCTGACAGCAGCAGAGCAAGCATGCAAGCAGATTGAGGCTGACAAGTAAAAACAGGCTGGAGAGCTGGCCAGCAACATTTTGGGAAACTCAGCACTGGCAGATGTGAAGTGGCATTTGGAAGCCAAAGCCTCCAATGGAGGAACTGTAAGAGAAGCAGAGCAGCATGGCAAGGAGAAAGGCTGAGCAGCATGCATAACAGCTAAACAATGAGCTGGAAAAGAGGAGGCCCTAAACCTTTTTCACAAAACTAACAACAGAAGCAGGTGTGGTGGGCAAAGATGGATGACTTTCAGAGCCAGATTGAAACGGCCAAATTAGAAAATGAGAAGCCAAGGGTGCAGTTAGCATTAATGCAGCAGCAACTAAGTAAATCATAGCAATAGATGAAGGACAGAGAAGCAGTGGAGATTTGAAGGGAGGTTACAGTCTTACCCGAATCAAGCCAGAGTAGAGCCGAAGACCACTCATGAGTAACTGATCCAGGAGAGGGAAAGAGTCAAGATACCGCAGGGACATTTACAAGCCACATGAATGAATGGGCAAGTATGAGGAAAAAGACAAGCCTTTTTCAGAGAATTGCCAGTCCAAGACAGAGGGTGTCACCCATTGGACAAAGAAGCTACTAAGTTTCAGAGGTGAGGGAGAAGGAGCTCTCATCACCAGTGCTAGAGATTGATACGGAGGTCTCTTTGGGTGGAACGTTCAGAAGTACATGTAGATGCCCTGTGTCCTGATGATGACTGTGAGAGAACAAGTGAAAGTGGCTTGAACCTGAGGACAGGCAGCCAAATAAAGCAGAAGACGTGGAACTTCCAGATCGTCCAACAGAGAAAGAAACAGAGTTGCTAGAGAACCACAGACCTGCGCTAGAAGAGAGGGAGAGGTCGCCTGACCGACAACTAATTGAAATGGAAGAACAACGGTTGCAACCCCCAATGAAAGGGGTATTGAAGACTTTTGAGTACCCGGATGGGAGAGTACATGTGGAGCTACCAAGAGAGATGGCTGCCTCTTGAAGAACAAGAGCTGGAAAACCATAGGGTACATGATCCAGGGGAAAGAAAGTATGTCCCTCCCACCCTCCCCATTCACTTCAAAATCCAGGGGGATGTAGCCTTGGAATTGGCTGGTAATCTGTCGTCCAATGGCCTTCCTTATGAGGAGGGAGCATATGGGGTCCTCCTGTTGGGACCACATGAGCTGCTGCTCTCCATCACCTAGCCAGTTGCTGAAAAACAATTGGTCAGGTGACTGTTTAAAAAGCACGAAGAAGAAGCTTCCTGGGTCAGTTAGACTGGGATGTCTGCCGTCTGAAGGCCAGAAGGCAGATCCTCTGTGAGCTATTGACAGGAGGGAGAAAGACAGGCCATGGACTCAAGGAACTAGTGAGTTCTAAGAGTTTTGTCAACATTCTTTATGAAATGAAATCCTTAAATGGTAAAGAGTCTCAGAGAGACTTTTCTAATTTGGCAATTTTATGAAGAGTCTCAGTGAGACTGTTTTAACATTTTTTTGTTTGAGGCTCTTAAGCAGTTTAACTGCTTGGCTTGGGTAATTAGGGACACTGAGAAGAAGTTTAGAAAGAAGCTCAAAAAAGTGCTAAGGCTTTTGTTTTGTTGTTTTTGATTTTCCCTACATCATGAAATAAAGCTCACTGGTGTCTTGTACCTTACAGCTGTGTCTGTTTGCCTTGACCCACCTGCTTGTTAAGATTCTGTTATGACACCCAACAGCTTGTCGCCAATTTTAATCAATCAATTTAATTAATCAAACAGAAAATATTTTAATCTCAGTTCTGACCTTATCTTTGAACTTGGATTTAAATTTCAGAGGCATACATAGTAATGCTGACAATACACCTGTTAATGCACATTAAAGATAGAACATATCTTTGGCAGATCATAAAAGAGGTCACTTCAATTGGCACTGGCAACATGGTTTAAATAAAAGACTTTTAAAAAGTTTGTACATGTAGTCATAAAGACAACAGCAGGCGTTAAATGTGTATCTTTTGTAAAGAATCTGCATGAAATTGCAGACTCAAGTCCCTGTAAGACGAAACCGTGTGTTTTTAATTAGTTTTTGGGTCACTACTTCTACCACAATGCCTACGTAAGAAATGTTTGCAATCTGGTTTACAAGTCTACAAGTTAGGCACCTACAGTATGTTTGACAAAGCAGAGTATTCTGATTACTTGGTCTCAATATCTTGGACTGTAGGCCTTCCCTGGTGAGTCAGAATCGCTCATCTTCTTTTTGGCCAAATAACAGTCCTAGCAAAACGGCTACAGTACAGTGTCAACGGTGTAACTACTACTGCTAAATCAAACAACGTGAATTTAAAGGATACACGCGATCATACAGAACTTTTATAAACGAGGAATAATGGTCTGGTAGAGGACGTCTCTAATGGGAATTTATTCCTTTCACTAAATGGATAATCGCATCCTCTTTACAATTAAGCAGATATGGATGAAGAAGTAATTTCAGCACTTCTGTTTACCAGATACAGACATCGTTTTTTTTTGCAGCAGTATATTTAATAAATAAGTCAGGTCTAGTTTACTGGTAAAGATTAAGTGATTACTCTTACGGGACTCAAATATTTTGCCAACCTGCGTTTCTAAGTGAATAAAACCGGAGAGCAAATTACATTTTTGAAAGTGTACATTTTAACTGGAAGACCTATCTGACCCCTATCCGTTTTAATGATATACGTTATTAATTCCTTTACTGACTGTTAAGAAAACGTCATTACTTGAGAGGGAATGCTTTTCTTTTACGATTTTGCTGTGCACTTTCACGGTAGAAGCAGTGAAGGAGTAAACAGTGGAACGGGGCTCAGAGAGCTGTACGGTGAATCATGAGGCCAGCTGGGGGAACCATGACCAAGCACAGTGACATGCATGATACAGAGAGAATACGTGCAAAATGCTATGCTTATCTAAGGAAGTAAATTCTCATAAGATATTAGACCTAAGTGCGTAGCCTGCTTAATCAAAAATAAAACAGTAATTCTGAACAATGTACAGCCTACGTTTCCCACACAGGTTTAACGTTCATGTTGCTTAGCTGTAGCCCGAATTAATATAATGCCTATATCACTTGTCCGCGCCCTAGCACACTGCGCTAGGCGCTCGCAGCCGAGTGTTGACTTGCGGCTCCGCTATGTGTGTTGGCTGGTAAGAGCTGGGCGGGGTGCGGCGTCCTTGCCAGCCAATCAGGGACGCGATTTCCCCCAGCCAAGACAGCCGAAGTTGTGTGCGAGAGACGGCCAGTCTGGAGTAAATCTGAAACACAATGGATGCAGTTCGTTGTTGTTTAACATTCGTAGTCCTGCTCTTAGGGACTGGACTACAGGAGACCGAAGGTAAGCGAGAGAGGGGGTGTGGTGCTCCTTTTTAAAAATCCTCAATTTGGATATTTCTTTTCTTCGGATTGAGTCTGGCGCGGGGTTCTCATGCCCGCTGTTGCTCTTTTGTTTCAAGACTCGTCTGCCCCGAAAGACTCTTGTCAAAGATGGCGCAGGTCAGAGAGAGCCGCGCTGTCAGGAATGTGTATTGTTAAGAGTGATTTCCTGACAAGGTAGAAAAAAAAATCAGGAGGGAAAGAGATCGAAAAGTCAGTAGCACGCCTGACGGGCCTGAGTAGAAAGCTACACGGCAAAGCGAGATTCACAGTGGCAAATTCATGTGCAGTCCGATGTGGAGTAGCGGTGAATTGATATTCCCTGGTCGGCAAATGTCCTGAGCTGGAGTCGAGTCGCTGTGTTTGTACTTCTCGGCCTTAATGATAATAGGTCTCTCGACACGTCGGACACTGACCCTGTCCACCGATGGGGCACAGCCAAGGCCTTCTCGCTTCCACAGTCAGGCATTTTTTTCTACTTTGATTGCAAGGAAAAACGCACTATTTACGTGTGTACATATTAGCATATGGTAAATGATTGTTTAGAAGCAGGGTTCTTTTTGAGAAATGCATATTTTGACTCTTTGAAATGCAGCTGAACTCATAAACACGTTGCCTGAACCCAGGCTTATTTACAATTGACATGCTACTGGTTAGCTGTTTTCTGTTGTCTTGTAGCTAACTGTGTAGTTGAATGTTTTGTGACAGGAGTTAGGAGATAAAAGAAACGCCTAATCCGTGCCTTTTGAAGTATCGGGTTTTGGGGTGCCTTGTCATTAACGAAATGTAAAAGAAACCTTCTTTGCTTACGTTTCACCTTAAACACCTTGACGTAAAAGGTATATTGTTAACACGAATCGAACTGTGGTTTGAAAGACCTAAAAAAGGACGGGTGTTGCTGTTGTGATATTTCGGTGTCACCAGCGTGTGATGGGAACAGACACAAAGACTTTGATGTTGTCACGACAGGCTTGCCCTGTAAACCACTGTAGTGCTATTGTTATTAATTGTAATAATCTCTGTGAACGAAAGAAACGGGAAAAATATAACCTGTAGGCCTGCACGCCTTTTAAGGTGTCGCTCATGGAATAATTGTCTGGAGAAACAAACCACATGTGCTATGTCCCAGATTTTCAAGTGAACAGAAAGCAGTTCTTGTTTTACCGCAAACGTGTGTTCAGACGCGTCGTGCCACTGGTCTTTGATGTGCTTCAGATATGACTCCAGTGGTGGTAAAAAGTTCCTGCTCCCTTTTGATAACAGCTTTGGTTTGAATTGGGGGCTGCTTGCTGTCACCTGTGGTAATGGAAGAGAATTAAAACATTGAGATGCGTTGCGGGATTCTTTCTAATGGAATTGGGGCTTGTGACCGGTGAAACAGGATTTCCTTGCACAGTCGATGCGCGGATGAAATTAAGCTATCAGATTTGCATGACAATGTGCCGAAATCGACGCCCCGAAGCTCATAGCACAGCAGCTGAAGGAATAGTGTACTGAAATGAAATCTGAGCGTTTTAAAACTGTTTTGCAGAAACCAGTTGTGTTGTACAGTGTTTTCTTAGAATTAATTTCTCCAGATTTTTTCGTGTGGAGTTGAGTTATCAAACCTTGTAGTCCGATCCCTATAAATTTATCTCCAGTTTTTGAAGTGTTCAAGAGTAGTGAAGAATTATTTGTTATAACAGGTTGGTGCAGTGTTAAGCCCTATTATTTATGTGGTTTAGGCAGACTTTAGGCCATTTTGCTTTTTGAAAACGTTTTTTGAAAATACCCTTAGCTATTACTGAAGAAGTCATTAATTTATCGGTATACATAACTTAACCTGCCTCTGTCCATATCGCCTATATTTGATATGTTGTGCACATACAAGATTTCAAGCCACTGGAGTTCTACAATTTAAGTCTTGTATGGCACCAGGCCTTCAGGTTCTATAGCTGTGTTTGACTATTGAAGAACAATCCCAGTTTGGTGAAATTTGACCAGATTAGACAATATATATTTTTTGTTTTTACCTTATAGCTCTCCTGGACCAGGGTGGGAAGTTCAGGTTCTAAATCACTAGTTACAGTGCAACAGTGGTTATTACCATTTAAGCTCTTTAATTGAGCCAGTTGAATTATTAAAGACATGGATAAACACAGACGTTAACCCAGTGGATCTTCAAGACTAGGACTAGCTACTGTTCTGCTGGAGCTTTGCAAGGATTTACGTAGGACTGTTTCCCAGTTCTCGTTCTGTTTGATGTCATTGACCGAGTACCTTTTCGTTTTTCTTAAAGAGTGGCTAGACGGTTACATACACACTTTGGCAGTGTGTTTATTTGTCTTCCATTTCCAGCTTGCTGGTGTTCAGTAGTGAGAGTAAAACTCGGGTTTCAGTCAAGTTGACATATGATGCTGCTTTAGCAAATAAAGTAATACGTGAGTCATAAGCATCTGTAGACTGTTCTGTTTGCATGAAAATGAAAATAAAAAAATAAAATCTAAATATAGTTAAAAGAGTAATTATTCATGTTCTCATGGAGTTGAATGGGGAGTGGGGGGGAAGGAAGGTTAAAACCGTTACTGGTTTTGCAAGCTTGTTTTGTACGTGGTAAATACAGTAGCTCAGCCTTTTGGCTAGTAGAATCCAGAGCATTCAAAGATTTGTATGACCCTGAACTGCCTGTTGTCCAAGCTTAAGGAACCAAAACTAATTTGAAAAGTTGTATATATGCCAGTTGTAATTGGATTCAAAGGCATTGATGCATTCAAACAGCCCTGCTTCAGTCAGATTGAGAACTGGGCTGTGAATCTGGCTTGTTAAAGTTAATACACAGTTTAGTTTCCTTGAGGGATTAGATTTTGCTTCACAGCATTCCCATGTTTTGGCTTGTATTTTGGTCTACACAAATGGAAGCAAGATGGTCCTGTGAATGGTCAGGACAGCATAGCAGTTGTCTTAGATTAGTTTCCTCGTGCAAAACTAATGATAAGTGTGTAGACATTATTTATATCTTCATTAAAATAAGTCATCTAGAGTTGTAAATCAAAGGCATATTATACTGAAAGACTGTTTTTAGGAGACTTTGGTGTATTGCATGCGAGGAACATTCATTTGGCATACCACTTTTAGGAGTCTTTTCTTTCTCCTTCTGTGTGAATAGCGCACTGATCAACATTTGCCGTCAAAGGCAAAAATAGAGTCCCAAGTTGCGTAACTGGTAAAAGCACACACTCCAGTACAGGTTGGGCTCTGTGGGGGGATAGGATGGTATTAGCCGGTCAGGCCTCTTGACAAATAGACCACCATGCTCCCTGATCTGTTGAAGGGGATCCAGTACTATCAGTGAGGGATGTTGTGGTATGTGAAAAGACGCATTCCTAACACAAGAAATTGTATATGGCCAATAAAGTGATCTGATGTGATCACTCTGTTGTGTGATGTGTTAACTGATCACAAGTTTAAGGTGGGCGGGTCAGAGGAGAATGCTTACACTTCCTCTTTCTCTCTTGTTTTGATCACAGGGTTTGTAGCTGTGAACTGAGACATGAAAAGCACACATTTGAGATTCTTGTATTGGATGGGTATAACAAACCATCAGTTTAAATTTATAAATAAATAAAGGCAGTTAAGTAGATCATGGTATAAAACATATGATGGATTGAAGCATGGAGAGAGTTTCAGTGCCACTTTCCCCATATAGATTTTCCTTGAAGTGTATAATGGTTTCTTCACCTTCCTTCAGTAAATAAACTGTGAATTTATGCTTTCAAACTGATGCTTTGCGCTCAGATTGCAGAATTCATGAGGAGTTTGTGCTCAGTTTTTTAATAAAAATAATTTAAAGGAACACATCAGACAAGTAAGAATGTGTTGGATACACCCGTTACCCTAATTTCTTTGACAAAGCTTTAATCTGTGTTCACCTTGCAGTCTAGAGCAGTCTTTCCCTGCTTTGTGAATCCTGACACTTGTTCTAAGTATATTTTGGCACCATCAGGACATTGGTTTCCATTTCAAAATCAAGTTATTTTCACTTGCCGCTCTGCAGTTTGAAATATTTAACTGTTGCCCCTTTAGGGCCACCCTGTTCATTTGGATGGAGGTTGTGGTAGTTTGACCTGTAAAGCACAAGGGCTTCTCTCACTGTGGTTGGTCTAATATACTAATATGAAGGGCTGGCATTGTTCTGCTGGTGTCCAAACACAAGATGTATTAAAAATAGGATCAGTCTGTTCTTCACTGCAGTGTTATGGTGAAGGTCACTGGTGGGTGAATGCTGTTTTTTTCCAAAATAATAATGATGCTGAACACCCAGGCTGATTTAACTTCAAATGTAGTAATCAAGAGCAACAGGTTTTGACATTGAGGCAGGGCCTTCCCAGTTGCCTGACCAGAAACGCTCTGGGCTTAGTGCAGAATGGGCAGCAGGAGCTGGCACTCCATTGCTAAAGTTGTGACAAAATGCCTGAAGTATGTGCAGCTGTTATTGCCGTCAAGGGGTGATGTTTTGATGAGAAACATCTTCTTCTCAAAAGGTTTGTATGTTTTCATATACATTTATCCTCATTCTTCTTTTTTTAGTTAGAATTTGATAATATACTCCGCTTTCCCATAGTATTGACTGCCATTATGTTATATAAAAATTGTACAGTCTTTAAACAGTAGCAGCATTATTTCATGAAATGATTTGAAAGCAATATATACAGAGCCAGCAGGGTACATAGAATATGGTTGCCAGGAGACCAGATAAATGTATGTGGATCTCTAATTATCTGGTCACTATAAAGTGTTAAAGTAGTGCGTTGATGGCTTGCTTATTTGTGCAGTTGTTGCCAGCCTGTACTCACCTTGCTAAGCTCCCATCGAGTGAGAGTGGACTCTTTCTCACAGTGTAATTGAGGATGGAAATCCTTAAAACATACCCTCAGGTCTTCCCCCTCGACTCAAGGTGCAGACGGGCAATTGTGAAACTGTGAA